TTCATTTCAAGAAGCACACGAAAGGTAATAAGTCATGAAATGATAACACGCTTTGGTAGAAAACTTTTATCAGATGATTTATTATAATAGATACCTAACAAGTTTAACACAGTAATGATGAAATTTTCATTTGCTGATAGAAATGTTTGAAATCAAAAAATAAATTAAAATTTGGAGTTCTACAGCAATATACAATAGCAAGGACCAATTAGGAATGAATCATAAAAGCGTAAATGTATTTCAATATTCAAGGAAGAAAACATTTGCAAGTTTTGAGTTAAAATTCAGCTTGCATATAAATTAGAAAAAAAATCAACATTTGATGAAATAAAATTTCAATGAAAAAGAAAATTGCCAAAAAGAAAATTATTTAAAATCATACTGATGCACCATAATGAAATATAAATTATTTAAAATCATACTGATGCACCATAATATATATATGCAATACCAATCTCAACTGAATTCTAAAGCAAGCAATTGAAAATATTCAGCAAAAACGAAGTCAAAAAGCATTGATGACATACTGACTAATAATTGATTAAAAGGATGAAAAGTTATATCCTGTTCAGCTAGTAAATCAAAAAGTCTTTTTGTAAACAGCTCCTATAACTGCACTGTTTTTAGTCAATACAGTACCTGGTGGATGCCATAATGATAAAAAAATTTAGACGACGATGAGAAATACAAGGAATACAACATGAAAGAATTGATAAAAAAATCTTATTAAATTGCGAAAAAATCAGAAGTGGTAATTTGTACGTAGCCTTTATTTGACTATTCATTCCTAAGATAATCAATAAAAATCTGCATTAATTAATAGAAATAATTGAGAGAAGAAAAAAAAAATGTTTATGTAGAAGAACGATAATACACGTAGTACAAAGATGTTAGATTGAGATTTAGTAGAGACCAAAGGAATATTCGAAGAAAAAAAAAGGATGGAACAGTCTCCATATATTAGATGAAAAAAAAAAAATCTTCATGAGCGCGAAAGATTGCAGAGAAATACTATTATTATGAATGTTTATTTTCGTGATTATTTTCCTGTCCTTTTGGTTATGTCAGAATTATCAGGGAAAGTACGGGATATTTAATGATTAGCATAAGTGGAATTATGTGTAGGTAAATTAAAATATGTAAATCAGTGTTTTTTTACCATGTGTTCTTTTACCATAAGTAAATAATAGTTACGTCACTGGTTTTTGTGCTTAATGAATATTTGATAAGTTTGCTAATTTTATAGAATTGCGGCTCCCATGGAGGATCAAGAAATCGAAGTGCTTTTCGAATACCTTAAAAGGGAGCCGGGGATGTACCGGATTTTGCAAAGGTTCGTGAGCAGGACTGTTCAGGTAATTTTCACTTTGTCTTCCTCTTTTTTGTTTTTATTTTTTATATTATTATTTTTTTTTTTTTTTTTTTATAAATTGATACAGTATGAAGAAAGAATTGATGAACTTTGCACTGCCTCAAATTTAAAAAGTGACTTTAAAAAATAGCTTTTTCAGTTTGAACAGTCGCTCATAGAAAGGATGGCGGAGGCGGGGTGGAGGTTGGAGGAACTGGTAGGGCAGAGTGCCCAGCCAGCAATGGAAGAGGACCCGGTACCTCAGGAACCGGAATTTAACGAAGAAGAGGCAGAGTGGGCTCCTCTGCCTGAAAATGAAAATGATGAGGCCGAGAACTGGCCATCAGAAGCAGAGTGGACCCCTCTGCCAGAAGAAGAGGAAGAAGAAGAAGAGCCTGAGGTACCGGGGGTACCAATGGAGATCGAGGAACCGGTAGAAGCAGTACGCGAACTCGTCCTGTAAGTTTAAGTTTTAGCAGCTATTGTATTAATTTGCTAACTAGATATTAACTTACCTGCCAAATAATTTGCAATAAATATAAAACTGTTTCAGGCGAACGAGGACGATCAGAATCCCGGTTCCTGCCATGCAAGAAGCAATGGCTGCGGCACCTCCGGAAAAGTTCGAACCAGCTGATTTAAAAGATCTTCCGGAGCAACTCCGAAGAGAGTTGATAGTGCCGCAAGCAGAGCCATACACGGTGGCACAAGAAGAAGGAAACAAGAAAATCGGTAAGTTATAATTTTAATAACTTAAGAAATGATTATATGCCGCAATTTGTAGAAGAAATATAATCATATTTTGACTTCGTACTGATAAAATCATATGATTTCATCGAAAATTTCATCCCTTATAATGCACCAAAACGATTACAAAATTCTATATCGATACTCAAAGAACAATTTGTGCAACAATATTTTCTTACTATTTCTGTTTTCAGTGTGTGGCCTCTGCTGCAGGCAGTTTGAAACGTTGAAAGGGTGGCGCATTCACGCGTCGAGAACACACAAGCAAGATGGTAAGTATTGCGAAATGAATTTCCAATTAGTTTTTAAAGATATCGCTACATTTGATTCATTTAAAAGCCAGTAGACTGATTAATTTGCATATTCCAGGTTTTTGTGCCCGTTGTGGGCATTACCTCTTGCTGCCACCTGAATTTACGGTCGCCCAAAGAACGGCAGCAATGGAGCTTCATGCCCTCGATTGGTGCCCGAGGGCATGCGCGGCCGTAATAAGCGAACGACAGGTGAAGCGGCGCAGACTTGATCTGGTAGGAAGAGAAGAGGATGCACATCACCTCTTCATCCCAGGTAAGAAATTAATTAGCATTGAAGAAGTGAAATTTAAAAGTTAAAAAAAAAAATTGAATGACCATAGAAAACAAAATATTAAAGTGGGTCTCGTAATTTTTCTAATCAGTGGTTTTTTTCAGGCTAATATTATTGCCTGGTCTTCCTCATGCGGCCACCTGTCGCTGCCTGCTGCGAATCTCCATCCTCTTCCAATGAAAGCTGGTTAGTAACATCCAAAAAATTAAAAAAAAAAAAAAAAAAAAAAAAAAAAAAAAAAACTAAAAAAAAAAAAAAAAAAAAAAAAAAAAAAAAAAAACAAAAAAAAACTAAAAAATAAAAGAAAAAACTAAGAAATAAAAAAAAAAACTAAAGAACAAAAAAATCAAAAAAACCAAAAAAAAAAATCAAAAGAATAAAAAAAATTAAAAATAGAAAAAATGAAAAAAAAAATGATTTGTTCTTTGATTTAACATAAGAACAACTGATTTCAAAATATGGAAAAGTTTGTAATTCCTTTATGTTTCTGTATGTCATTTACCGTCCTAGTGATAGAGCAATAAAAAGATTGTAAAAGGCATTTTTTTGCCAACAAAAAAGATAAATCAGATTACTTTGAAATCAGTTGTTTTTTCTTGCTTTTTTTTTGTTTTTTTAGCCTTTTGGGCTGCTAATTTTTATTAAAAATTGTGTATTTTATTTATTTTCATTTAAATAATGTAATTTAATGTTTTTATTTTTTTTGATATTACTTGTAACTGTTTAATAACTGTTTTTTTTTTTTTTTTTGACTACTTATAACTGTTTTTTTGATTTTCTAAACTTATCACAATTGTTCTTTTTTTTTATTGTTTATGTTACTTTAACCACTGTTTTTGTTTAATGAAAATTTTCATTGTTATTTTAGTGTTACTAGCGGTGTTAAATTTTTTTATTTAATTTTATTGCTGTGTACATCAGATATCAACTTATTGTATATTTATTTTTTGTATTTTTTAACTTTTAATAAGTTCTTTACATTTTAAGATGATTTTTTGCTATTAAAAAAAAGCACAAATTTTTTCATATGAATATATTTTTAAGGGAATTGAGCAATTTTTGAAAGTTTCTGTCTGTATTCAAGTTTTAATTTAAATGAGATAAGTTGTCAACAGAGGATAGATTTAATAAGATGTAATTAAAATTTTTTTTTGAGCTCTCATAAGTCGGTATCAATTTGTAATTATCTTTGTGTGTATTAGTTGGGAGGGAGGATAGGGTTGGTCGAAGGGAGGTATAGAATTATACCTTCCTTCGTCAGTATAACATTAACCAAGCATATAGAAAAAATGTTTGGTTTTGAAATTCAGTTGAAGGACCTTCTGAAATCTGGAATAAATTTCAAAACTTTTGATCTCTATTCATTTTTAAATATATTTTTTGAATTGATAGAACTTTAAGCTTTAAAAAGATCTCAAAAATATTTAATTTTTGTTTTGAATTTTTGCGTTTTCAATTTTTTTTTTCAATTGAGTTAAAATTTTAAAAAAATGAGTTAAAATCGCTCTCAATTTTTTTTGAACCTGTTTTATTCAGATTATTATTTGGAATCTTTTTTTGGAAATTTTTTTTGTATTTTATTAACTGCATGCTTTTTTTTTATTCATTCCATTTGTTGCTATTTTCATTTTTTTATGCCTTTAGCATTTTACTTCTTGCTAACTTTTGTCCATTCCACTAATACTAATTTAATTATTGTTATATTACCACTAATTTGTATCACTTTTTCTTTTGTTTCAAAAAATTGTCACTTTTATCTTTTCTTTGTTTATATTGGTTTTGCATGTGTTTTCGGTTATTTCTACCAATTGCGTGTTTTTTTTTATTTTTTTTTATTTTTGCTATTAACACGTAAATTTTTGTATTCTACTAATTGCATGCTTTTTGTAACTTTTTCTCATGAATTTTTTGGTTAATTTTATTAACTGCATGTTTTTTGTAACTTTATATTATTTTCTGTTTTTTTATTAACATTGTTTTTGCATGCGTTTCTTGTCTAGTTTTATTAACATGCATGTTTTTTGTAAACTTACTCACACCATTTATTATTAAGGCGCACACTTTTTTCTTTTGTATTTATTGCATGCTTTTATTTTTCACTCGTTTTTTATTAACATTGTTTGCATGCATTTTTCTGTTAATTCTATTAACTGCATGCTTTTTGTAATTTATTCATATTATGAATTCTTTTTTTTTTTTTTTAAATCTCTAAATTTAAGATTGTTTTTCAATGAAGATTTATGAATTGTAATCTCGGTGAATAATTATGAAGTCCATGACGTCACTGATCTTAGATTCAGTAAACAGAATTTTTCTGATGCTCGGATATATCGACCATTTCAAAGGTTTGTTAACTTTCAACTTTCAATGTTTAATTTCCTCAAAAAACTGCTTCCCTCTTATAGCATGGCGTTTCAAAATTATTTGTAAAGAAAAAATAATATTTTAGGTTGCTGCTAGCCTGTCAAAAAAAAAAATTATATTCACAGAAGGTATGATAAATAAAATCATATATGCTTTAAAAAAAATAATAAATGAAACAAGCATGCTTAAAACTCATTTGCTCTACAGGACTAATAGTAACGAAACGTAAAAAGTAATCATCAATTATTTACAATTATATGTAATTGGATTCTAAAAATTATTAGTTTCAATTTACATTGTTCATTTTGAAAGCTAAAAAACTAATTGAGTAAGGCATAGATATGAGAATAAAAATTTATGGACTTGAGAATATGAAAGTGGAAACATCAATGAATGTAACACATTCTCGCGACAGTGGTAGAAACAAAGGAACGATTTGATCAATAAAGAACAGAGATAAACGCTGTACAGTGATGGTAAAAGGTCAATCATACATGCAAACACTTATCCGTTAGTAACTGACGTCGCCTTCCTTTATTATTTGTTATTTGCTATTATTATTAGTATTATTATTAATTGTTATTAATAATTATTGTTACTACTATTTATTATTATTGTTGTTTTCATTATTATTATTAATTATTATTACTACTGTTATTACTATTAGTAGTAGTGTTATTAAATTACTATAGTGTCTTATTGTTATTATATTTCCAATTTATTTATTACAATTTATTCTTCACCTAATTTCAAAGTGAACTTTTCTCATAAACAATAATCAAATATAGTTTATAAATTGCAGTGCTTCCTTACGATTAAGCAAGCATATCAGTATTCAATGCCATATGCTATTCAAACCAGAAAGCATTTCAGTGAGATGCTGCTATAACTTATGTCTTCGGGACAACGGTATGCTTAATTTCTATGCATTTTTTCTCTTAAATCTCATTTTAAATTATTTCATTTTTTGTTGTTTTAGCAATTTTCGAATAATATTTCTAGTTATTATTAAAAAATCAGATAGTCATTACATGTCAAATAATAAATTAATTTTTTTTAAAAAATTGATCCCAAAAATTGACCTCAATTAAGTGATTTTTACGTAAGAAAATAATTACGTAAGAAAATATTAATCCATGCATTCAAAATGATTTGAATTAGTGGAGCTAACATCATTCTTAATGGCTCAAACTATAAATTTAACGAAAATGTAAATTTTAAAATACTAATGAAGTTACAAAAATAAAATTAACCAACGTCATAAAAGTATTTTGAATTTACTGGCAATACGCCATCTTCATGGTCATGATTTTCTTTCATGTTAGTATCATCTCTTTGTTTATCACGGCAGAAAATTGTGAAAAGAATTTTTTGAAATATTAATAAATAATAAAATCAAAAGTAATTGATCCCATCTAATCATTTTTAATTCATTTTAAATGCAAAAAATGAATTTTAAGTATAAATATGTACGTTGAAAATGATTAATTCATTTAGTGAATATTGTTTTGAGTTACAGCGAATTTAATGATAATAGAAATTTTAAAATTAAAATTGCAAAAGTAGGTCCGATCAACATTATGAAATCATTTGAATTATTTGTTTAACATTACAATTTTATTAAACCACCTTCATAATCTACCTTCATGCTGGTGACATCTTTTTATTTGTTATGATATAGGCTAGAATATTCGAACGAATTCTACCAAATGTTCAGAACGTATCTTTTTTTTTTTCTAGAAACACTTCCAAACGTATAAAACCTATTCGTTTTAATTTAAATTTAAGGCTATTTAGGTGTAAAATATAAAATAATAACTATTATCCTGATAAAATTGAAGTAGTTATTCCTTAACATCTATCTTAAATTCAATAAGCAAAAATTTTCAGATGCTTTTTGATGCTGAAATGGTGTGGAACAATTCGAAGACATTTTCAGATGTGATCAGATTTTAGGTTTTTCAACATTTTCTTATTATTTCCATTTTATGGCTGACTTTCTTCGTTATTCATATCGCTCCAAGAATTTGCCATAAATATTTGTGATGAAAATTAATTTTTCAGTCTACTTTCAGTCTATTAGCACACTGGAATTGATGGTTGAAGTGGTCTTAAAAACTTAGAAAATTGCTGAATAATTTTGCTCATTATGGTGAAATGTTGAACACATTGGGAAGATGTGTAGCTTAACTTTCGTATGACCCGTGACGTATAGCTAACTTCTGTGTGATCCGTGACGTATAGCTTAACTTACATATGAGTAAAATGATGATAAACGGTGTTGATAAGTGCAAAAGATAAGGAAACAGTTGACAATCTTAGCTAACAGTTTGTCCATAATAATTCATTTCGGAGATAAGAGTAAAAATATTTGAATATAGAGCTGTTTTGAAGGAATTATCATTATCACTAGAATATCATCAAGTGATCACCCACACAAGTGAAGCCTGATAAAGCTTTTGGATAGCCGGCAGTGGTCATTTTACTTGATCAGCAGCGATTCTACTTAACCAGTGGTCATTTTATTTAATTCAATGTTTGGCCAAATACGAACTGTTTGTTGGAGCGGTATGTGTTGATAGGTCTTATGTTCCTTTTCGAGTATTTCAAACTAAAACAAATGTTTTAAATTTAAGGCGCATACAATTTTGTTCGGTATAGAACGACGGAAAAAATTTGAATTGTTCGCGACCAGCTTAAATGTTTATCCGAAGTGATTGGTAAAGTTTGCGTTTGGATTTTTTGTCATTGATATAAGTAATTTGAATTTTTGTTGATTTCATATTCAGCTCAGTTTTAAAAAGGAAATATGCAGGATTTTTCTAGCTAACATTCTATTATAAATTCTCATGAAAAAGTTTTACTTCATATTTTGTATTAGCTGTCTTTATGTAAATTTTTCTATCAGAAAGTTAATCACCATTTGATAAAATTGATGTTGCATTTAAGTTCCATTTTTTATTTTCATATCGGCATGATATTTTCTCCAACATATTATGTGGTATGCTTTTTTTTTTTTTTTTTTTTTTTTTTTACTTTTGTTTTTTTGTTTTACAGCAAAGGACACTTTAAGTCCAGTTATAATTAGAAAAGTATATATGTATGCAATGTTTTTTTTTTTTTGATCACTAATTCAAATGAACTCGAAATTCGCTTTTTTTTATCAGATTTTTTCTGATCACTAATTCAAATGAACCCGAATTCAAATGAACCCGAAATTCGCTTTTTTATCAAAAAAAAAATTATTCTGAAGTCTTTCTTTATATTATTTTATTGATATTATATATATGTTTGGAAATTGTGATAACACAGTATTAATTAAATTGCATTGAATTCGAGTATGAATTTGTTGAATTCTTCTCTTTTAACTCGTTAAAATAGCTTAATTCCTTAGTTTAAATATTTATGTAAGTGATAAATGCGGAAAATCCGTTTTCAACCATATAACTTCCGTAATTTTGTTCTGGGAACTATTTGAGGAGCTATTTGCATTAATCATAAGAACTTGTAGAACTGAAAAGAAATAAATAAAGCGAATAAAACTGTAAATAAAGTTTTCTAAGGAAACAGGATGGAAAGGTTTACATAAAATTTAATAATTAGATAAAGATAATGAATAGAAGGCATTTATAGTACCTGATACCATTTTAAAAAATCAAATCAAAAACCGAAATTTATCATAAAAAAATCTAACATAATGTAAAAGAATTGTTTAATGAGAAGCATTTTATTGACAAAGAGAAAAAAAGTGCTATCAATAATTTGGAAAACAGAAGAAGTTGCAGTGTATTTTAAAATTTTGATTCAAGTAATTGAAATTTTAAAATTGTTTGCTTCAACGTTAATGAAATGATAATTTTTCAAAGGAAAAATTTTCAAAAAATTTTAGCTTTACTGAAAATGGAAATCAAAGTAAAAATTTTTAATGAAAACGAAGGAAAGGTGGTTGAAACAAAGAATGAAAAGAATGATAACTTAATGAGAAATAAAAACAAGTTGATTGAATTTTTTTTCATGTACATTTAAGTGTAAAATTGGATCATTAAAAAATTGAATTTTAAAATTTATTTATTTGATGCTCCTATCTGCTTTGTTTATGTTTGTGTGAATGATTAGCGAACTGCAACAACTCGACAAATTCATTTCAAATGTAAAACACCTCATGTTAGTACATGCATGTAAATTCAAATCGAAATATAAATGTCATTTCTTTTCTTTGTTGACACCAACATTTAACACATTAATTCAGTTGCTTAACTGAACCTGATCATGTTTCGACAATTTAAACTTTAGTATATGACAAAAAGTTAAAGTTAAGTTTTTGGAGATATTTGGAGAGCTAATTATATCAGACACAAAATTAAAAAAGTTATAAGAAATCTATCAGATTGAACATGCATTAACTATCCTGACTATTTGCGCTTGTTGCCAGTATATACATATTTGGTTCTAATCTTAATAAAGTTTAATAGACAAATGATATTATTCAAAGAATAATTTTTCCTTCAAAGATTTAGAAGAAGAAAAGGATTGTGTTACCAGTTTCTAATTTACATTTACCGCCTGAACTTCTTTAATTTTCAATCTGATGTGTAATTAGCCCTCCAACTAAAAATGATCTGATGAAATAATCAGGCGGTAAGTGTAAGCTAAGCTATTGCTTTTTTTTTTTCTTTTTTTTTTTTGTCATTTTATTAATTCTAAACGAATTATCAATTTTTACATTCTCACTCTCCTCTCACATTTTTTGTTGATGCTTATATTAACTTTTGCCTGCGTAAGTTTTTAAAATTTTCAAAGGACATTTTGGTACCCAAATATGTTAAAACAATTGTAAAATTAAGTTTAAATGATCTTCTGGTTAAAATTTTAACGAATTTCTTTATAAATAACTTTGTTATTCAATGTTTTCTCCAAATTTTGTATAAAAGTAATTGTTAATTAAACAAAAAAAAAAAAAAAATTGATCTAAAATATCTCTTCTATCAGTGAAATTTAATTAATGCTATACAAAAGATTTAATATTTGCTTTTGCAAAGTTGGAGATAAAGTAATATCATTATTTGAAAATGGATATTTCCGCCTGTTATGCGCTCTCAGCAAATTTTCTTTAAAATACAAACAAGTATTTTGTAAATTAAGTTAAATTCAGTGTTAGCATACGGTAAAAGTTAAAATTTGAGAGAACTGGAAGTTACAAGCGAAAAGAAAAATGGTATGCAATCGACAATCACACAAATGATTCTCTGTTTTTTTTTTTTTTTTTTTCTTTTTCTTATATTTCAATGTTTTCGTTGCTCAATAAATGACTTTTTTCTTTTTTTTTGTTTGGAATTTAAAAAATTATAACCTTTTATTTTGGCTTATGTCGGTCTTACTTTTTAGCATTTCTCAAAATAGTTCATAGAAAAAGATTAGTAAAGTGTAAAGTATATTAAAA